TCAAGGTGTGGAACTGCTGAAGTCATCAATGGGAGTTCTGTCTTCTTTGGTATGGAAAGCCCTGGGGACCCTGAACTCATAGGGAAGGATTTTTCTCAGAACGGCAAAACGGTCTTGAGTGCTGAGGATCTGGTGGATGGTTCTCAGGAAGGGCTCTCAAGTCCTACCTTCTGGAGTTGGCCAGAGGTGAAAAGCTTTTGTGAGCGTTATGGAATGTACGCTGCACATTTTGATCAGGGAGCATTGGGACATGCTCTGGTGAAACCTACGACTTTCCTGGTGTCTGATATGGAACTGTGGGAATCGTTGGAACAGGTTCGCGTGGTTGTTCCGTGGTCGGCAACATTCGCTTCTACCCTGGAAGAACGTATTGGACAGTCCTCCATATGGGCGCGATGGGCGTTTGGATTGGTTAAAAGAATACGTCACAGGTTGGCACAATGGTTGCATGAGAGCGATGCTGAACGGGAAGCTATGGTGTTAAAAAAGGAAGAACGAGAAGGGACGTTACGGAGGCTGACAACGGAGGAGCGAGCTTTCCGTGACCATTGCCTAAGGGGGCATATTCCTTTCAGACGTGATTGTCAAATTTGTGTGTCTGCCGCTGGAAAAGAGCGTCGCCATTTGAGGCGGAAACATGGGGATGCTTACACTTTATCACTGGACTTAGCAGGTCCATACAAGTGTTCAAAGGATGCTCACCAGCAGAAGCCACGACACGCTGTTATTGGTGTGTATCAATTTCCAATGTTGGATCCCAATGTGGGTCACCCTCTTGAAAAGGAGGAAGATGCGGATGAGGTGGAAGATCAGGTGGTAGATGAAGGTGCTGGTGTTGGAGAATGGTTAGGCGATGCCGTCGCGAACTTCGAGGAGGAAGACTCTGCACCGGTGGAACCTGCACCAGTTCTGGAGGCAGAGGTGTTGAAAATCCAAGCTTCTGAAAAATCCTGGAAGGAACTGAGGGACCATTTGACCCAACCTGTCCGTATGATCAACTTCGTTATGGTGGAGCCGATTGTGGATAAACAGCAAACAACTGTTTTGTCGGCGGTTCAAAGAATGATGGTGCGCTTGCAGAGACATGGGTATCCGGTGTTGAGAATCCATTCAGATCGAGCGGGGGAGTTTGTCAATGCACGCTTCCGGTCCTTTTGTGAAACTCGTCTGATATACAGGACCACTGGTGATCCTGGAGTCCCGCAAACGAATGGGCGCGCTGAAGCATGTGTGGGTTTATTCAAACGTGGTGTGAGGTCGCTCTTAAAGGAGGCGCGACTCGGGCCGGCGTACTGGGCACTGGCTGCTCGCCATTGGTCAATGTTACGGTGGCAGAAAGCTGAAAGGGAGTTGGGTTTGAAACCGAAAGCATTGCTTCCCTTTGGTGCTCAGATTCAAGTCAAACGTCGTCCGTGTGAGTTGCTGGGTCCGGATGGAACAAAGAAAGGTCGGCAATGGGTCGATCGTACGCAGCCCGCGCTTCTTTTGGGTCCATGCGATGACCTACCTGGTGGTTATTGGGTGGAAGCTCAAGGGACTGCCAAAGATCCGGATGAACTGGTGTTATTTCCCTGCACTACGATTTTTTCCAATATAAAGGAACCACCTGCATTGGAGCTGGAAGGGGTGGTAGAAGAACAGGAGCCTTCTCCTCCGGAGCATCGTCTCAAGGGGAAAAAACCAGCGCTTCGGTTCGCTGATGAGGAAGGTCCTCCTTTACCTCCACCTCGCGATCCTCCGGCTCACCGTCGGTTAACAGAAAAAAGCCCGGCCTCTTCACTGCGTGGTCATGTGGGCTCTTTGCGCTTGCTTCGCAAGCGGGGGGAGAGTCCGCCCTTAGAAATTTTCGAGGATGACATGCAGGGTTTGGGGGAGCTGGAAGAAAATGCAGATGTTGAGGACAATGTTCCTGGTGATGAGTATTGGCCGACATGCTGTTCTCCTCATGAAAATGCTTATTTGGTCTGCAAAAGTGAGACTGCCGAGGATGGAACACAGTTGGAAAAAGAAGAACAAAAAGCCAAGTCAATGTATGAAAGGTCTATGTATGATTACGTGGACTGTGAGGAGCTTTTGGAAGGGATTGTATACCCAAAGAGGGTGAATCGGAGAGGTGGTATCAACAATTGGTGCACAAGTACGCGAGCTCTGGTGTTGGGCCACTATACTCATGGCGGAGTGTGTGGTATTACAAAGGAGACCCATCGAAGGCCATGGCTATGTCGTTATTTGACATCATTTGTGAAGCACCACAATCCTGAAGCCAAATTTTCTGCTCTTCAGATCTCGTGCAATGCTCCGGTATCATTGCATAGGGATAGTCACAATGAAAAGCATTGCTGCAATTATGTGTGTGGCTTTGGTGACTATAAAGAGGGTCAGCTGTGGGTTGAGGATGAAAAGGTTTTGGAGGAAGGAGCTGAAGTGGTGGAGCAATCCTATGGGAAGAAAGTCTTACCTGGAAAATTGGTGGATATCCACTGGAACTTCATGTCGTTCTTTCCGAGAAAACTGCATGGTCCTATGCCTTGGAAAGGGAACAGAGTATCCTTGACAGGGTACACACCTGTTTTTATGGAGCGATTGAGCTACAAGGATAGGTGCTATCTACTCCAATGCAAGTTTCCTCTTCCGGAACCACAAGCTGAAGAAGGTGAAAAAAGGAAATGGTTAAAAATGACGCTGAGAGAAACCTCGCTGGACGACCTTGCAGAGGAAGTCGACTACGCTGTGTTTGAAGCGCATCAATGGGCTCTAGAAGAGCATTTGAGTATTCGACGCCTAATTGCTGAACAGGAATGTTGCATTTTGGACGAGTTCCATGGATCGGCCAATGAGTCGAATGATGAAAAAGGATCGGAGACCAGAGAATGGCTGGTTAAAGCAAAAAGGGCTGAGGAACAGCTCTCGAAGTTTTTGGTCAAAGCAGCTCAAGTTCAGCAAGTGGTACAAGAGAATACTGCGCTGGAGGCAGCGGAGGAGGTCGAGTTCCTGCAAACAAAAACAATCCCTACACAAGAAGCCATGCAAGAGCTGGAGAAGTGGAGGGAATCATTGTCGGACGAGGTGAAGTCTTTGGTTAAAGAGTTGGAAGTGGTGGAACCAACAACTCAAGAAAAGCTGGACAAATTGGCGGAAGAGCCTAATGCACCGGTGATTGAGTACGTTCCCAGTCTGGTGGTGTTTACCCGAAAGCAAGGGACAGGGAGGAGGCGTGCCCGTATCTGTGCATGTGGGAACTTTATTTCGTCAACGGCAGCTACAGAATATGAAGGGCCAAGGTCCCTCAGTCGTCACTCGCTGTACGCTCCAGGTTTAGATTCAACTACATTTAGGTGCCAAGTGAGGCACGCAGCACATATGGTGTGGATCATCGCTGGCTTAGACATCTCCAAAGCTTTTCTGACGGCGCCGATGAATAGGGCGCAAAGAGAAGGGCGTTTGGTGGTGGTGCAGCCCCCAAGGGCGGCCGTGAAATTGGGTCTTTGCACAAAAGAGGAGCGGTGGATTGTGAGGAAGGCCTTGTACGGTTTGGCCGAAAGTCCTGCAGCATGGGTGGAGTGGCGAGACCAACGTCTTCAAGGCATGTCTTGGGTGTCAAAGGATGGACAAGCAATGAGCTTTCAGAGGTCCAATGCAGACCCAAGTCTGTTCCTTATTATGGCACAAGAGAAGCCGGAAGGTGCAAGCAAGTTGGTAGGGACAATGGGTCTTTACGTGGATGATTTTTTGATGGCTGGGACTATGACAGTGCTCCGGGAAGCCTTGGAACAGATCAGGAAGGAGTGGAAAACTTCTGAACCCGAGTTCTGTGGTCCAGGCTGTGGTGATGGATTCCTGAAGTTTTTGGGTGTCCAAATCTGGTACCGAAATGGCAGCTTCTTTCTCAACCAGGAGGACTTTGTGAGAGATTTGCTGAACCGAAGAGGGTATCAGATTGATGAAACTGGAAAAGGTAGTAACCTGCCAATGGTGAAAGAAACTCCAGGTGAAGAAGAGGAGGTGGATATTCCCTCCTTGCGAGCGGCTCAAGGTGCCGTAGGGGAGTTCCTCTGGGTGGCAATCAAAACTCGACCTGATTTGGCTTTCTGCACAAGCCAGTTGTCTTTGTGGACATCCCGAAGGCCGCGATTTGTGGTTAAAAAGGCTGAGGAGGTATTTCGATACCTTGCTGCAACTCCAACGTTAGGCCTGACGTTTGGAGCAATCGCAACATGCGAAAAAGAAAGGAATGAGGTGTGCGTTATGGGCGAGGCGTCAAGGTGGTGGAGTCCTACGCGGATGCTAGCTTTGCAGCAGGTGAAAACGAAAAGAGCCACTCAGGAGCGGTGGTGGTTTGGGGTGATTGTCCAGTGATGTGGGCAACGCAGAGACAATCAACGGTGGCTTTGAGCACTGCTGAAGCTGAATTGCATGCATCTATAGAGGGAGCAACGATGATCCAGTCGTGTACCCCTATAATTGCCGCTTTGGTTGGAACAGGTGAAGAATCGCTGCAAAAGGTGCTGTATACAGATTCGGTTTCGACGTGTTCAATCATTCAATATCCTGCTGGTAGCTGGAGAACAAGACACCTGAGAATTCGAGCAGCTGGTGTCAGGTCTCTGGTGGACCGTGGTTACATGGTGATAGCGCATCTTCGTGGTGAGTATATGATTGCTGACCTGTTGACAAAATTGATGAGTGGACAGGTTTATGCAAAGCAAAAGGCACTTTGGGGTCTCCAACTGTTAGTGCAAGGAACTGACTTGAAAAGGGCCTCTCTTGCAATGGCGGTCATGATGGTGGCTGCATCCCTGCAAGGGATGGCAACAGGTGGAGAAGAAGTGTCAGCTGCTGGTTTCTTTTGCTCAGAAGAAGGGGTGTGCCAGGTCGCCAACACATCTACGGTTATGGTTCTGGCTCAAGGCATAAACCCTAAACCCTAAACCCTAAACCTTCCGTGGGCGAGCCGCTAGCCTCAAAGCGCCGGCCCCTTCCCGGGTCCTCCTTGGGTTCCCATGGAGGCGGTCCCAGCGCCTGTGAAGCCTCTGCTGCTGGAGGAGACCTGGCGATGGTATGGGCCCAACGACCCCGTCACCCTGGAGGAGGGTTTAGGGTTTAGGGTTTAGGGTTTAGGGTTTAGGGTTTAAGGTTCAGGGTTTAGAGTTTAGGGTTTCGGGCATCGGGTTTACGGTTTAGGGTTTAGGGGTTGAGGGTTTGTAAGGTTTAGGGGTGTACGGGTTTAGGGTTAGGTGTGGGTAGTTTTGGGTTGTGAGTAGAGTCTAGGCTTGGGGTTGACGTGCTTCTGGGGCCTTCAACCCGACACCCTAATCCCTCAACCCTAAACCCTAATCCCTCAACCCTAAACCCTAAACCCTAAACCCTAAACCCTAAACCCTAAACCCTAAACCCTAAACCCATCGTGCGCCTGAAGGATGTGAAGCAGTCTGGTGCCACTGGCATCGTCACGGCGCTGCACCAGGCAGACCGCACCCTAGGGAAGTTCCTTGAGGCCCTAAACCCTAACCCCTAAACCCTCATCCCTCAACCCTAAACCCTAAACCCTAAACCCTAAACAGGTCCCCATCGGAGAGGTCTGGAGCGAGGCGGCCATTCTTGAACGCAAGAAGATGCTGGAGGACGCAGGCTTCACGTGGTCAGTGGTCGCTCCCAGACTGAAGGTTTAGGGTTTAGGATAACCCCTAAACCCTAAACCCTAAACCCTAAACCCTAAACCCGAAACCCTAAACCCCAAACCCTAAACCCTAAACCCCAAAGCCCAAACCCCAAACCCCAACCCCAAACCAAAATGTTCCCTGCTGTTTTTTGTCTTGGACGAGGCCTTGGGCTTTATTTGCGGGGTTTTCCAGGGGATGTGAAGTGAGGGTTGAGGGTTGAGGGTTGAGGGTTGAGGGTTGAGGGTTGAGGGTTGAGGGTTGAGGGTTGAGGGTTGAGGGTTGAGGGTTGAGGGTTGAGGGTTGAGGGTTGAGGGTTGAGGGTTGAGGGGTTGAGGGTTGAGGGTTGAGGGTTGAGGGTTGAGGGTTGAGGGTTTAGGGTTGAGGGTTTAGGGTTTAGGGTTTAGGGTTTAGGGTACTTGGGCCGGCAAGCCCCCAGGCCCAATGTCTGCCCGATGGGGCTGAAGATTCTGCCCGCCACGGTCCATCCACCAACCTAAACCCTAATAACCCCAAAACTTAACCCGAAAACCGCTGAACACTAAACCCTAAACCCTAAACCCGAAACCCTACACACCAAGCGGTGGGTTTCTAACAATTAGGAGGGCCGGATCCTAAACCCCAAGCCCCAAACCCTAAACCCTAAACCCTAAACCCTAAGCCCTAAGCCCTAAACCCTAAACCCTAAACCCTAAACCCTAAACCCTAAACCCTAAACCCTACACCCAACAAACAAGGAGTCTGTGCCTGTGCACGAGAGCATCAAGCTGGGGAAGGGGGACCGCGACAAGATCCTGGGCTGCGACTTAGGGTTTAGGGTTTAGGGTTTAGGGTTGAGGGTTTAGGGTTTAGGGTTTAGGGGTTTAGGGTTTAGGATCTAGGGTTTAGGGTTTCGGGTTTCGGGTTTAGGGTGTGGAGTTTAGTCAACATTTTCTTGTTTTAACCTACTTGCTGGCAGTTGCTGCTATATTTTTAAGGGTTGTTTATGCGTATGGCTAACAATGACTGGCAATGGTACTAGTGTGCTTATCCTTAGACTTGCGATCTGGTTTTGTCCTTGTACCTGTTGACAGGGTTTAGGGTTTAGGGTTTAGGGTTTAGGGTTTAGGGTTTAGGGTTTAGGGTTTAGGGTTTAGGGTTTAGGGTTTAGGGTTTAGGGTTTAGGGTTTAGGGTTTAGGGTTTAGGGATCGGGCCCGCCTTACCCCGGAACGCAGCACAGGTACATCGATGCCTACAAGCAGACAGTGCGAAATCTGGGCAAGTGCGGCATCCGCCGCATTTGCTACTAGGACCTTATTTCCTTTTTTAGGGTTGGGGCTCATTTGCAATCCCCTTAAAACCAAAAAGCGTGCCCTTTTATTCCTAGGTTACTTCGAGGTCTAGTAGCCCTAAGCCCTAAAGCCCTAAAGCCCTAAAGCCCTAAAGCCCTAAAGCCCTAAAGCCCTAAAGCGCCAAAGCCCTAAAGCCCTAAGCCCAAAAGCCCCAAAGCCCTAAAGCCCTAAAGCCCTAAAGGCCTAAAGCCCCAAAGCCCTAAAGCCCGAAAGCCCTAAAGCCCTAAAGCCCTAAAGACCTAAAGCCCTAAAGCCCCAAAGCCCCAAGCCCCAAGCCCTAAAGCCCTAGAGCCCTAAAGGCCTAAAGCCCTAAAACCCTAAGCCCCAAGCCCCAAGCCCTAAGCCCTAAGCCCTAACCTACCTAAACCTGAACCCTAAGCCCTAAGCCCTGAGCCCTGAGGCCCTAAAGCCCTAAGCCCTAACCTACCTAAACCTGAACTAGGCTACAACTTCATGCCGGTCCTGGACTGGACGCGTACGGACCTGACGCGGCGATGGCCCGACGGCTCAGAGGCCCTGGCCTACGACGCGGATGAGCCCCATCTCCAGTTCTTTGTTTTTTTGGTAGGGTTTAGGGTTTAGGGTTTAGGGTTTAGGGTTTAGGGTTTAGGGTTTAGGGTTTAGGGTTTAGGGTTTAGGGTTTAGGGTTTAGGGTTTAGGGTTTAGGGTTTAGGGTTTAGGGTTCAGGGTTCAGGGTTTAGGGTTTAGGGTTTAGGGTTTAGGGTTTAGGGTTTAGGGTTTAGGGTTTAGGGTTTAGGGTTGCGTTGATATGCAAGCATTATGTAGTTTGTTACGATATGATTTTTTTACTACCATATTTGCATGTTATTATTAGTATTCTTATGACTACTATTCTTATTACTATGACTATTTTGATATGTATACTGTGTTTTGCATTTATTGCCTTACTATGTAATTTTAACGCTACGCGACCCGCCTCGGCCCGGCCCAGCGCATCCGCGTGAGCATGGTGATTCCGCAGCGCCCAAGTCGCTGGACCCCAAGCAATAAGGGTTTAGGGTTTAGGGTTTAGGGTTTAGGGTTCCGGGTTTATGGTTTATGGTTTGGGGTTTAGGGTTGAGGGTTAGTTTAGGATTGAGGGCTTAGGGCTCAAGGTTCACGCTTTGGGGTTTAGGTTTTTTTTGGGTTTAGGGTTCAAGAGACGGTTCGGCTTGGATTGATCGTAGGGGGGGTAGCGGGGGTGGGGGGGGGGAAGGGGGGAAGGGGGAGGGGGGGGGAGTGTTCGGGCTTAAGGTTTAAGGTTTAAGGTTTTCAAGCTCAGACTCTTCGGCTCCTGTAATGCATCCCCGGCCGTGCTCACACCAGTTGAGCCTCGAAAACCCGCTGGTAGGGGGGGTAAGGGGGGGGGGGGGTGGGGGGGAGGGGGATGCAGGGGGGGCCTGCTGGGAGGGGCTTCAACTGTCTCTGGTCCTGGCGAACCGTCCGCTTGCGGACCCGGTTTCCTAGGGGGGGTACCCATTTGAGGCAAAAAAAGGTTCTCACAACCTATACACCTCCGGCCCGAGGCCTCGGCGGATTTTATTATTATGTCATTATATGTTTATAGTTTTGCGTTTGCGCTATTCTTATTTAACTATGAGATGTGCCATCTTATTATATATTGCATGATTGTACTGTTGTATGCAGTATTATGCCATGATATGTTTACAATAGATTGCTATATAAGTCCTTCGTATTGTAGTATTCTCTTATGTCAAACGTTCAATTTGGGATGTTCCCTCCCCTTCTACTAACAGTCCTTAATCGGGATGAAAGCAGGGGGTACTATGATCCCTATTGCGGACTGTTAGTACAAGGGGAACATCCCACAATATAACCCTAACCCCAACCCGAAACCCGAAACCCGAAACCCTAAACCCTAAACCCTAAACTCTAACCCAGGAGCTGGCAGCCTTTGATCTCTACATCCTCAAGCGGGAGGGCGCGGAGACGCTGGTCCCGGAAGCAAGGGCATCGGGAGAGCTCCGGGATGTGAATCCGTGCAGGTTTCAGGGTTTGTAAGGTTTAGGGTTTAAGTTTAGGGTTTAGGGTTTAGGGTTTAGGGTTTAGGCTTTAGGCTTTAGGCTTTAAGGTTTTGGGTTTAGGGTTTTGGGTTTAGGGCGCCTCCGATGAAGCGATGTATGTAATTGAACCTAACCTGGAGATTGTTTTTTTCATGCCGAGCTCCTGAGCCAGGCGCTTGCACTGCCGATGCCCCAAAGAAACCCTCGAAGCCGAAGGCTGTTGGGGTTCGGGGTTTTGTGGAGCATTTTGCTCCAACTCCACCTGGCCCCTTGACTCCAGCCCCTGAACCCACAAAGCCCTAAAACCCTACCCGCTAAAGCCCTAGAACTCTAAACTCTAAACTCCTAAACCCTAAACACTACACCCCAAACCTCTAAACCCTATTCCCTGATACCCTGAACCTAGAAGCCCTCGCGCCAAGGAAGCAGTACGAAGCCTCGGCACTGGCCCGGGCAAAGGCTGTCTTCGAGAAGATGGACGCTCAAGCCCGGCAGGCGCTGAAGCCGTTTGGGGTTTAGGGTTTAGGGTTAGGGTTTAGGGTTTAGGGTTTAGGGTTTAGGGTTTAGGGTTTAGGGTTTAGGGTTTAGGGTTTAGGGTTTAGGGTTTAGGGTTTAGGGTTTAGGGTTTAGGGTTTAGGGTTTAGGGTTTAGGGTTTAGGGTTTATGTTTTAGGGTTTAGGGTTTAGGGTTTAGGGTTTTGGGTTTAGGGTTTAGGGTTTAGGGTTTAGGGTTTAGGGTTTAGGGTTTAGGGTTTAGGGTTTAGGGTTTAGGGTTTAGGGTTTAGGGTTTAGGGTTTAGGGGTCCAGGGTTTAGGGGGGTGGGCTGCAACGGTTTAGAAAGGCTGAGGGGTTTAGGATTGAGCCGAGGTTTTTTTTCGTGTAATCAGGGTTTTGGGGTGTAGGGTTTGGAGTTTACGGGTAGTGGGCTTGGCAGACAGAGTACAAGGTACCATGGTTTTGTCACTGCTTCTATGATTGTTGTCATTTCGTCGCCGCTTTCAGGGCTCAGTACTCACCCAACACCCCAAACCCTCAACCCGACTCTGTAGACCAAAAGTAGCGTATCTTTCAACCAAAACAGGGTCCCCTTCGACAATTGGCAATGAGCGTTGCTTAATCAGAGGTGTTGGGTTTCTTGGGCTTCTTTCGTAAAGCTAAACCCTAAACCCTAAACCCTAAATTTAAGAGCCTCCGGCTCAAGCCGCCGACCCGCTGGAGCATAGTTGAAAGGTTTAAATGCGCTCGTCAGCTCAAAGGATGACAAAAGTTGATTTGCTTGAGCCTCTGTGAAACTTGAGCCTCTGTGAAACGGGGGGGGGGGGGGGGGGAAAGGGGGGGGGGGGTAGGGGGAGGGGTGTGTGGGGGGGACAGCAATTGACAAGGGAAAGGGGGGTAGGGGGGTAGGGGGGGGGGGTAGGGGGGGTAGGCAGGGGTGGGGCTGGGTGGGTTTTTTCCCAAAGGACCCCTATGTCCTGTGCGAAACCGCCTATGGTCCGTGAGTTTATGCTGGCCTGGCCCTCCCCCGTTTTAGGGGGGTAAGGAGGGAGGTTTTCACCTCCTTTTCCCATCCAACACGCCGCCATGGTCGGCGGACCCCAAAGCCCAAACCCCAAACCCCAAACCCCAAACCCCAAACCCCAAACCCCAAACCCCAAACCCCAAACCCCAAACCCCAAACCCCAAACCCTAAACCCTAAACCCTAAACCCTAAACCCTCAGCAGGCGCTTCAGCAGAACATCATCGCGGGCTTGCCAGGGCGGATGGTAGAAGCCTACTCCATCGAGGAGTTCCGGCAGGCCATCGCGGAGTACAAGAACGCGACCTGCCTCATGGTTTAGGGAGCCCGAGTAGCCCTAAACCCTAAACCCTAAACCCGAAACCCGAAACCCGAAACCCTAAACCCTAAACCCTAAACCCTAAACCCTAAACCCTAAACCCTAAACCCTAACGGATTTGGGGTTTTTGGGTTCAGGGCTGAAACGAAAGCCAACATGGGGAGCTATGGCGCAGAAGCGACGCTTCAGCAGCACAGCCGTCAGAGAGCAGAATTCACCCTTGATCCTAGACACTTGTAAAACCTGCTTCCAGTTACCCACTGCAGGGGTTGGGGGTTTAGGGTCGAGGGGTTTACGGCTGAGGGTTTGTTTCAGTCGTTTCCAAAAGCAGCTTGTTTTAGGGCTTGCGAAATTGAAAGGCGCCACGGGCAGAGGCCCCCCAAACCCGAACCAAAGACACGCCAGAAACTCGTGTTCCGAAGCATGGTGTTTTTTTGTCCTAGCTGAGGTTTGAGGGTTTCGGGTTTAGGGTTTAGGGTTTAGGGTTTAGGGTTAGGGTACCCCACAACCGTCATCCCGAAACCTTGAACCCACCGGGAGCAACCTTTAAGGTCACTCCCGTGCAGATGCGCGAGAACTTGGCCTACTTCCTACGGAACATCATTCCCACCTGCGAGGAGTGGCAGCGTTGTTTTTGTTCTCTCTAAGTCGTTCGATCCCGAATCCTGGCGCACAAAGCCCGAAAACCCACCCTAAAACCCACCCTAAAACCTACCCCAAATCCCCCCCAAATCCCCCCCAAATCCCCCCCAAATCCCCCCCAAATCCCCCCCAAATCCCCCCCAAATCCCCCCTAAATCCCCTAACCCTAAACCCTAAACCCTTAAACCTTAAACCCTAAACCCTAAACCCTAAACCCTAAACCCTAAACCCTAAACCCTAAACCCTAAACCCTAAACCCTAAATCCCCCGGAGGAGGCCTCGGTTTTCATGGCCATCCACCCGGACGACCCGCCGCGGCCCATCCTCGGTCTTCCGCGCTTCGGCACCTCTGAGGGTAGTAATTAGTTTAGGGTTTAGGGTTTAGGGTTTAGGGTTTAGGGTTTAGGGTTTAGGGTTTAGGGTTTAGGGTTTAGGGTTTAGGGTTTAGGGTTTAGGGTTTAGGGTTTAGGGTTTAGGGTTTAGGGTATTTGGGGTTGAGGACGGCTCAGGGTTTTTAGGGTTTATAGGATTTACAGAGTTCATAGGGTTTGTCGGGGTTATATAGGGTGTATTTATGTAGGGTGTATATAGGGTATGAGAAAGCCTCAAAGCCCCCTGCCATTCAAGTAAGTAAGGGGTGGACACGAATGCGAAAACCTGTAAAACGATGGGAACACTTGAAAAGCGACACCCCTCATGTTGCGTCCTTTGGCACCGCCAGCCGGTTTCGGCAGTCGCTCATATCTATATATATATATATGCATATAAAAATAAAAATAAATATAAATATAAATCTAAGTATAAATATACATATAGATATAAATATGAATATAAATATGAATATAAATATGAATATAAATATGAATATAAATATGAATATAAATATGAATATAAGTATAAATATAAATACATATATAAATATAAATTTAGATATAAAAAAGAAATATCGATGTAAACATAAATATAAATATAACTATAAATATAAAGATACATTGAAATGTAAATATAGATACAAATATACATATCGATTATAAATATGAATATAAATATACATATAGATATAGATATTAATATACATATCGATATAAATATACATATATAAACATAAATGTGCATATAAATCTAATTTGCAATAGCAATATAAGCATAAATATAAATATAGATATAGACATAGATATAGATAGAGATATAAAAAAAAACAAAGAAAACACATAAAATGCACATATACATATATATATATATATATGTAGGCTTTAGGGGCGTTTAGGGTTTGGCCCTCAATGCAGTGGTGGCGGAGTCGCAGGGCCCAAGCCCTGAACTTTAAACCCTAAACCCTAAACCCTAAACCCTAAGCCCTAAACCCTAAACCCTAAACCCTAAACCCCAAGCGGATACCGGCCATCGAGGCCCGCCTGTTCCACGCGCGACGACGTCGCCGCGCTCCTGAAGGCGCCCAGGTTCGGGCTTGTTAGGGTTTTAGGGTTTTAGGGGTTTCAGGGGTTTTAGGGGTGTAGGGCTTTAGGGGTTTAGGGGTTTAGGGTTTAGGGGTTTAGGGGTTTAGGGGTTTAGGGGTTTAGGGGTTTAGGGGTTTAGGGGTTTAGGGGCTTAGGGGTTTAGGGGTTTAGGGGTTTAGGGGTTTAGGGGTTTAGGGGTTTAGGGGTTTAGGGGTTTAAGGGTTTAGGGGTTTAGGGGTTTAGGGGTTTGGGGGTTTGGGGGTTTAGGGGTTTAGGGTTTTAGGGTTTTAGGGGTTTAGGGGTTTAGGGGTTTCGGGGTTTCGGGGTTTCGGGGTTTAGGGGTTTAGGGGGTTAGGGGGTTAGGGGTTTAGGGGTTTGGGGGTTGAGGTGTTCAGGGGTCAGGCTTTCAGGGCCCTAAAGCCCTAGAACCCTAAACCCTAAAGCCCCCTAAAACCCTATGCATGTAGAACTTTTAGTGTCAATTTGTCACTTGGCTTGGCTAATGAGAGCTCGGTGAATCGTTGTTTCCAATTCAAAGCTTGTCAGCATTGTTTGTATTTCCGCTAAAGCCGTGAAGGTGTTCAAATTCGAAAATCAAATCACGATGTTTTTTCAGCTTAACGCTTTAAGCAGTGTAAAGTGGGTTAAAAACCATTGCACATAGACCTGAACACGAGAAACTGTTTTGAATTTAAGTCTACGGATGTCCTCTGAAATTACGAACTTAAACACAGAGACGGCACATGCAGAAGTCGAGTAGCGGTAGCATGGTTGTATTTTGGACAGTCACGAAGGGTTTAGGGTTTAGGGTTTAGGGTTTAGGGTTTAGCGTTTAGGGTTTAGGGTTTAGGGTTTCGTAGGGTCCAGAGTTCTAGTTCAGACTGTGCAGGATGTTGTAAACTGACGCTGGGTTCAGCTGTGGAACATGCACCCAAAAACTTGGGATGCTCTCCCTTGTGCCAATTAACAGTCCTCAATAGGGATTATATAATCTCCATTGAGGACTGTTAGTGTAAGGGGGAATATCCCAACCTAAAACCCTCTAACCCGAAACCCTAAACCCTAAACCCTAAATCCTAAACCCTAAACCTCAAACTCTGAAAACGCCAAGACATGGAGGTCGCCGACTCCAGGTACAATGGCATCACCCTGTGCCCTGGCGCTAATCCCAAAGGTGATCATTTGGGTTTAGGGTTTAGAGTTTAGAGTTTAGGGTTTAGGGTTTAGGGTAACCCCAAACGTGATCAAATGGGCTTAGGGTTTTAGGGTTTTAGGGCTTTCGGGCTGTAGGGCTCCAGGGCTTTAAGGGCTTCGTTTGTGATGATCTGATTGTTGTTTTTGGAGGGGTGGGAATGGGGTTTCACCATATTCTGCGCGCGCCCTGGATTTAAATGGAGACACACGAAACCCTAAACCTTAAACCCCAAGCCTTAAACCCTAAACCCTAAACCCTAAACCCTACACCCTAAACCCCAAGCCCTAAACCCTAAACCTCAAACCTCAAACCCTAAACCCTAAACCCTAAACCCTAAGCCCTAAACCTTAAACCCTCAACCCCAATCACCTGCAGCTCTCGACGTGGCCCTACAGCCCAGTCTGGGCAAGCAGGTCAGCTGGGGTCCCTTCCCCGCGCGTTGTCTTGGCGAAGACTCACTGTTGGCTAGCAGGGAATGAGGGAATTAGGACCCTCTATGTATATATACATATCTACATATATATCTATATCTACACCCTTTAAGGGGATTATATAGAGTACCCCATTCCCTCATTCCCTGCTAACCAACAATATAAGAAGACTCAGGTGTGTGGGCACCTACGCCTCCTCCCCGCAAAACAAGGCCAGGGAATAGGGTTTAGGGAGTAGGGCTTTAAGGAACAGGGACTAGGGTTGAGGGACCCTCAACCCCCGGTTCCTGAACCCTCAACCCCCAAACACCAAGGCCAGGGAATACGGTTTAGGAATAGGGAGTAGGGTTAAGGTACCCTAAACCCCCCCTCAACCCCCCCAACACCCTGAAATCCATGCCTCAGGAGCCTCATGCACAAAGGGGCCCCAAGCATACTTCAGAACCCTGTAAGGTGGTAGGGTACCATATTAGGGCCCCGTGTAACAACCCTAAGCCCTAAGCCCTAAACCCGTAACCCTTAACCCTGAACCCTGAACCCTGAACCCTGAACCCTACCCTTAGACAAACAGCCAGAGAGGTGGAAGACATGGCCAAGGAGTTTGCCTCGCGCACGCACTTCGTGCACCTGAGGAATGTCACGAAGGCAGGGACCCTAAACCCTAAACCCTAAACCCTAACCCTAAACTCTGAACCCCACACCCTAAACCCTAAACCCTAAACCCTAAACCCTAAACCCTAAACCCTAAACCCTAAACCCTAAACCCTAAACCCTAAACCCTAAACCCTAAACCCTAAACCCTAAACCCCCTGAGCCCTTCCAGGAGATGCCCCCGGCCCCGGAGACGGGCCTGGGACCGGCGGGTTGCCACCTGGCGGCGAGCACTTGGAGGTTCAGGGGCAGGTAGAGAGAGGGCTGGGGTTTAGGGTTTAGGGTTTAGGGTTTAGGGTTTAGGGTTTAGGGTTTAGGGTTCAGGGTTTAGGGTTTAGGACTTAGGGTTTAGGGCAGTTTAGGGTTTAGGGTTTAGGGTTCAGGGTTTGAGTTTAGGGGTTAGGGGTTAGGGGTTTGTAGGCTTCAGGGTGGATCCTTGTCGACCCAATGCACTGCCGATGCACTGAGTAAGGGCCAGAGGCCACACGAGTGAACACCAGGGGCTCAACAGATGTGGGCAACAGCATGCGACCCCCCCCCCCCCCCCCCCCCATAACCACCCTACACCCTATACACCCTACACCCTATACACCCTACACCCTATACACCCTACACCCTAAACCCTAAACCCTGAACCCTAAACCCTAAACCCCAAACCCCAAACCCTAAACCCTAAACCCTAAACCCTAAACCCTAGACCCTAAACCCTGAACCCTAAACCCTAAACCCCCGTCCACAAAAAATGGCCCCTACCCCACTTCCGTTGCAGTTTGTCAAGGGCGATGCTCAGGGGCCGAAACAAGGAGTGAAGCCGCAAGTAGATTTCAGGCGCCGCCCTGTGGTATTCAGCCGAGCTGAGAATCTTCCCAAACGCATCCCAAGCTTTATTCAGCTTGGTAGCCCGGTGGTACCCTTTACCTTTTTGTGGCTCTGGGTTCCCTGATAAAGTAGCCAACAAAAAAAGGGTGCCCTTATTAAGATATGGTTATTGGGCTACTAAGTCAGGAAATCTTTCTAGCAAGGAGCAGAGCTCACATCTGCGTCAACAAGAAGCCCCCCGGGAGCGCTTGGCGTAAACTATCCCAGCAATCATGAGTTCCCCGCTTATCCCCAAATAGCCTTAATTATGGGGGGAACCTTTGGGAGGGTGGGGTAGGGGAGCCCGTAGGGGAGCCCAAGAAGTGTCCAGGTACCTTCACAGAGTCTGACCATTTGGGCGGCGACGTGGACATGCTCCTTGGCTCACTGACGCCCCAAAACCCCGACTTGGACTACTTGGAGGTTCAGTGTTACGTATAACCCCAGCTATGAGTCTGCTTATAGCCTACTTAGGGGACTTAGGGGACTCAGGGGGCTTACAAAACCCCAAGCCCGAAACCCGAAACCTTAAACCCTGAACCCTGAATCCTAAACCCTAAACCCTAAACCCTAAACCCTAAACCCTAAACCCTAAACCCTAAACCCTAAACCCTAAACCCTAAACCCTAAACCCTAAACCCTGAAACCTTAACCCTAAACCCCATAAGTACAGCTATGTTTAGGGTCATAAGTGCCCTGAACCTCCAAGTAGAACCTCGTGCCAGATGGGTGGGTTTCTTCAAGGATGGATGTCTGAGAGCGGCCTGTGAGCCCCAAACCCTGGCAAGGTGGGGAATGGGTGGGTTTAGGGTTTAGGGTTTGGGGTTTAGGGTTTGGGGTTTAGGGTTTAGGGTTTAGGGTTTAGGGTTCAGGGTTCAGGGTTTAGGGTTTAGGGTTTAGGGTAGTTATAGGTTGGGCTGCAACCCTGAATTCCCTGAGGTTAGACACAGGTATAGGTATAGCGACATGCATCCTACTTCTGGGTAGGATTACAGCTACCCGACATCCTCTATACATTCGTGTACTGTACGCACGCACATGTTTATCTACTTGTGCCTCGTGTAGTTGATTTAATTGCTCTACCTGGAACTCTCGCTCTAAACCCTGAACCACCCTAAACCCTAAACCCTAAACCCTAAACCCTAAACCCTAAACCCTAAACCCTAAACCCTAAACCCTAAACCCTAAACCCTAAACCCTAAACCCTAAACCCTAAACCCTAAACCCCCTAAACCCTAAACCCTAAACCCTAAACCCTAAACCCTAAACCCTAAACCCTAAACCCTAAACCCTAAACCCTAAACCCTAAACCCTAAACCCTAAGCCCTAAACCCTAAACCCTAAACCCTAAACCCTAACCCTATACCCTATACCCTATGCCCTAAGCCCTAGACCACAATCCTGAACATACTTCTGAGTGCGGGCCCTAGAGAAGCCCGAGGTACGCCATCATGAGGACGATGCTTGAGGACCGGCTCGCCCCTGAACCCTACACCCCACAACCCAAAAGCCCTAAACCCTAAGCCCTAAACCCGAAACCTGAAGCTGTAGGGTTTAGGGTTTAGGGTTTAGGGTTTAGGGTTTAGGGTTTAGGGTTTAGCCCTCAACCCACCTCAGCATAGGACCCGTCTACGTTCCAGGGCTGCTGGGGCTTAAGGGGCTTCGGGGACGGAAGAGGCTGAAGAGTTCTTCGGACCTACGGATTTCACGGCTCGTGCTTTCAGGATCTACAGGCCCACGCTAACCCTAAACCCCAAAACCCTACACCCTAAACCCTAAACCCTAAACCCTAAACCCTAAACCCTAAACCCTAAACCCTGTCTTTAGCGCATGGCCAGGTGTTCCACTCTTGGGTGCCAGAGGATCAAAAACTCATGGCATATGTTTTAAACTCGGATGCACTAGGCAATTCCGTCCCTGAGATACTTGGGTTAGGGTTTAGGGTTTAGGGTTTAGGGTTTAGGGTTTAGGGTTTAGGGTTTAGGGTTTAGGGTTTGGGGTTTGGGGTTTGGGGTTTGGGGTTTGGGGTTTGGGGTTTGGGGTTTGGGGTTTGGGGTTTGGGGTTTGGGGTTTGGGGTTTGGGGTTTCTTCGGCCCCAAGTATTTCTGTGCTTTTTCAGCCCTCGAAGACCCCCAAGTCCCCGAAATAGGTTATAAGTAAACGCATAATTCGGGTTCTAGGTAGACTATTAAATGTTTTTATTAAATATTGATGTGAAGAAGTACCCATTAACCTCCAAGTAGGGTTTGGGGTTTTAGGGTTCTAAACCCTAAGCCCTAAACCCTAAATCCTGAACCCTAAACCCTAAACCGGAAGGAGAAGCAGCGCCGGATTGGGGAGGGCTGGGGCGACTCGGCCAACATCCCCTTCCGCCCGGACCATGGCCACAAGATGTTGGATGACATGAAGGCAGGGTTTGGGGTTTAGGGTTTAGGATTTAGGGTTTAGGGTTTAGGGCTGAGTAAACCCTAGAGCCTGAACCCTATAAGCTCTGAACCCCAAAGCCCTGAGCCTGAAACACGAACTCCCAACCAAGAGAAGGCCAACAGACACCCACACCCTAGACCCTAAACCCTACACCCTAAACCCTAAACCCTCAACCCCAAACCCTAAGCCCCAAACCCTGCAAGCCCCCCGAGCCGAACCAGTACCAAGCTCCTATAAACGCCTTCGAGCAAAAAAAACAGACGCAACCTTCAAGCACTGGGTCCCCCAGATGGTACCCGTATTCACTTTTTCCGCCTAGGTCTTAGTAGGGAATGAGGGATTGAGGAAAGTTGTCAGTTTAATTGCTTTCGGGTACTCCGCCACCCGACAACCACGCCGCTCATAAACGGGGCTTGGTACCTCAGTCCTACAAAAAGCTCACCTCTGACAGCCCAAGACCCCAAATCCTGAACCCTAAACCCCAAACCCTAAACCCTAGACCCTGAACCCTAATCCCTTCCCCCTTGTGTTAAAGGCACCCCTGATTATAGCAACACTTTCGGGAAAATCCTGCCGAAACCGACCCCGCCTTTTACCGAATTCCGGGAGGTTCAGAGCCTCAAAACCTTCAAGCCAATCTAAACCCTACCCCAAAAGATGGCATATGGATCAAACATCCCCCTAATACTAAAAACACATTTCGAGATTCTAGCGGGGGGGTAAATAATAGGCAAAACAATTAACCCCAAACCAGACCCCAGGGAAAGAAGACGAACCCGGGCTACACTTGCATCGGGCGCTTGCGGGGTCTGGCGGAGCTTCGTGGCCTTCAGGCGCTGAGGGTTTAGGGTTTTCGGGTTTGGGGTTCATGGTTTAGGGTTCTTCAGGGTTCTCCGAATCAAAAGTTCCCCCATGGTAGGGGATGCTAGGCGGGTTCAGGTCTTGGGGTTGGCTTTCGGGGATTGACTAGAGGATGGTGAAGCCCAAGCCCCGAAACCCTGTTAGGGTTTAGGGTTTAGGCTTCAGGGTTTAGGGTTTAGGGTTTAGGGTTTAGGGTTTAGGATAAACCTCAACCCTAAACCCTAAAACCTCGAATCCTCAGGCCTCAAGGCCACTTCAAGATTACTAGGACCCAGAGTAGGCCCTTATTCCTTTTTTAGGGGTCTGGTGCTCTTCTCAGGCCCTTAAACCCAAAAAGGGCACCCTTTTCATTCCTAGGTTATGCTAGGGTCTAGTAGCCCTAAACCCTAGACCCTATCCCCCAAACCCTAAACCCTAAACCCTAAGCTCCCCCAGTAGGCATGCCGCCTAAGCGCCCGGAGCTGAAGCTTCGAATTAGGTCCTTAGACCCTCAGCCCCTAAGCCCTCATCCTCGCTTTAGGGTTTAGGGTTCTGGGGTTTGGGGTTGAGGGTTTGGGGTTTAGGGTTTAGGGTTTAGGGTTTCGGGGTTTGGGGTTTAGGGCTTATGGTTTTACAATGCTTTAATGTAAGCTTTGAGGATCTGGGGGTCGAGGGAGTTAGGGGTTTAGGGTCCTATACGGTGTTAGGCTTCTACGATTCCTTGGGCGTTCGGGGTTTGAAGCCGCGGTAGCGCAGCGGTACCCTTTTGCCCTTTGTTCTTGGTTCTAGGCCCCAAGTACACCCCTATAAACCCTAAAACCTAAACCCTAAACCCTAAGGGGGTGGTACGGGGGCCATGTTTCGGGCTTAAGGTTTCTTGGTTCAGGGTTTTTTTGGAGGGGGCTCTTTTGGTTTAGGGTTGGGATTTCCCCCTACTACCAACAGTCCTTAATTGGGGTCACAGTACTCCCCTACTAGAATCTCTACGGAGGACTGTTACTAGTGTTTGCTTAAGAACCCCAAAAGAATACAGGATAATAATCCCATATAAGGAAGAATATTTTTATTTTTGGGGCTTCTGAAGCAACTATTAGGTTAGTATAGGGGAGCAAAGAGCCGTACAAGAACCGAAGCAGGTGGCCATCGCCAGCAGCGGAGTCGTCCAGGCCCGTCTCCAATAACCTTCCTTCGCTCTTCGCGCGCAGCCCGAAACCAAAAGCACCCAAAAGCCCTAAACCAAAATGACCCAGGGGTTTAGGGTTTAGGGTTCAGGGTTCAGGGTTTAGGGTTAGCCCTAAACCAAGAGAGCCTCAACAAGAACCTAAGCCAAGAAGCCCTAAACCCTCAACCCCTTCAGGGGTTTTTAGCTTCTTGCCCATCCTAAACTCCCCTCCTGAACTCCCCAGCCTGAAGGGAGGAAAAGGAGCAAGCATGCTTCAAGCGAGAAGGTAGTTCGGGATGTTCCCCCTCATACTAACAGTCCTTAATAGGGATCATCATCGGGGGTACTATAATTCCTACGAAGGGACCGTTCGTATACGGGAGAACATCCCAAAGCATAATGCAAAAGCTTTGGCAGCCCAGCGGTACCCTTGTGCCCATTTGTTGGTTCAAGGTTCCCCTAAACCCTAAACCCTAAACCCTAAACCCTAAACCCTAAACCCTAAACCCTAAAGCCTGAACCCTAAACCCAAAAACCCTAAACCCTAAACCCCTAAAACCTAAACCCTAAACCCTAAAACCTAAACCCTAAACCCTAAACCTTGGCAGCCAACCCCCACAAGGGCGCCCTTATTATGATATGGTTACCAAGAAAAATAGCAAGTTGTAGCCAGCGTATTCAGAGTTTAGGGTTTAGGGTTTAGGGTTCAGGGTTTAGGGTTTAGGGACCCTAAACACTAAACCGAAAACGCATGCCCTCGACATCAAAAGCGGAGGCATCGGAGGGGCCAAGCGCGAAGAAGGCCCGGACAAGCTGAGGCACCACAGAACGGGGTGGGGGGTTTAGGTTTAGGGTTTGGGGTTTAGGGTCTAGGGCTAGGGTTTAGGGTTTGGTGTTTAGACCTTGGAGTATACAACCCAGGGTTTAGGGTTGAGGGACTGAGGGTGGGGACAGCAGGGACTTGCGTCAAGGTTTTCTAAGGTGCAGTTTTTGTTGTCAGACTAGGTTCTCTGGTAGCTTGTATAATACGTAGCTGAGTAGGTAACCTTACTCTGACCATTGACGAGTATTGAAAGGCTAACCTTTTTTGGCACATGGTACTCTGGTAGCTTGTCTCATTAAGAAGTACCAGTTCTATAGGGAATCCCGAAGCAAACCTGCTGAGGACCCTGTATTTCCCTAAGCCCCTCAGGCCTGAACCCCAGGGTTTAGGGTTTAGGGTTTAGGGCCGGTTTAGGGTTTAGGGTTTCGTATTTAGGGTTTCGGGTTTAGGATTTAGCGGTCGGGCTTCTTCCCTCAGGTATGTGCCAGAGTCGATCTGATCCTCAGCAGCTGCTGACCACGTCCGGCATCACGTGCACTCAGAAGAGCTACTTGGTTCTTAGTAGGGTTTAGGGTTTAAGGTTTAGGGTTTAGGGTTTAGGATTTCGGGTTTAGGGTTTAGGATCCCTTAAAGGGTATACGATATATATATATATATATATATATATGAATATATATATATATATATATATATATATATCTATTTATATATATATAGGGCCCCTCATTCCCTCCTAAGAACCAGCCAGAAGAGCTACTTGGTACTGTAGCCCAATGGTACCCTTTTCCCTTTTTTTTGGTTCTGGGTTCCTTTGTAAAGTCACCAACTTGGGATGTTCCCCTTAAAGCTACCAGTCCTTAATTGGGATCATAATGGGGGGTATTAAGGGCTGTTAGTGCACGGGGGCACATCCCAGGGTACAACCCTATCCCCAAACCCCAAATCAAACCCCAAACCCCAAACCCTAAACCCTAAACCCCAAACCCCTGAACAAAGGGTGCCCCTTGTTAGACTACGGTTGCTGGGCTACCAAGGCAAGGCCGTGGTCTCGACGACGGGCTCTCTCAGTGAGAGTTTTTGAGTCGATTTTAAGCGCGAGGCTTAGGTGGAGCCTGCACTTTGAAGCAGGCTGGTGGGTTTTAGGGTTTAGGGTTTAGGGTTCAGGGTTTAGGGTTTAGGGTTTAGGGTTATGGTTTAGGGTTTAGGGTTTAGGGTTTAGGGTTCAGGGTTCAGGGTTTAGGGGCTATGGAGGACCCCATATAGGGAAGCCCTTGGTGAAGACTACCTCTAAGCGTGCTACTACCCATCTCCTTTTGTGCTGCCGCTGCTGGAATTCGTCATCTCCTGTTCGGCTGCATGCCGGCATAGAGACTCAAAAAACTGCGGATGACCAGCAGAGAGGAGACAACAAGCGCTTTTGCATGCGGGGTTTAGGGTTTAGGGCTTAGGGTAGTTTAGGGTTTAGGGCTCATAGTTGATCTAGATTCCGGGTTTCACATGCCGGTTGCGATAAGGGTATGTCCCCAAAATAGGGGTGCCCCTACTATGCCCCAAGATACTAGAATCCCTCCTGATTCTAAGGAGCCCCCCAAAAGGGGACCCCTATTTGCAGAAACCCCTGTAGGGTTTAGGGTTTAGGGCTACTAGGGTTTAGGGTTTAGGGCTTACGGTTTAGGGGGTTCTGGGGCTTGACTGCCATTCGGTAATTTCTGCTTGGGCATCCCCATGTGCGCATGCTCAGTCTAGTGTTTTCCGGCTTTTAGGGTTGCAGGGTCGTAGGTTGGTAGGGTTGTAGGGATTTCGGGTTGTAGGGTCGAAGGGTCGTAGGGTCGTCGGGTTGTAGGGTTGAAGAGTGTAGGGTTGCGGGTGTACGGTTCAGGGTTTAGGGCCTAGGGTACCAAAACCCCGTTCGACCCGACAGTCCCCAACCTATATAGGGTTGGAATAAGGGGTTTGCGTTTCGGGCTTGCGATTTGAGCACATGGGTTTTAAGTGGGTTTTAAGGTTCGTCGGGGCTCCGGAGCATAAACGCTCTAACCCCATACCTCAAAACCCTATACCTTAAAACCCCAAACCCTTAGAACCCTAACCCCTACACGCGAAACCAGAAACCCTAAAACCTTGAACCCTAAATCCTTAAGCTTTGGAGAGCAGAGGACCTGGTTGCAAAATCCA